TTCAAGATGCTCGAGGCTCAAGACCTTCGATTGCTCCAGTTTTCCATGTTTGTCTCGGTCCTGCGCGGTTTCCACAATCTGTTTACTGGGATATTTGATCAAGATTCTGGTCGTGATCTTCTTTATCGGTATTTATCCATATTCACTTTTGGGGTCTAATTGAACAAGGTTTTGATCGTGGTCCTGTTTGTCGGAATACCTCGTATTATATAATTACAACATACACCTTCGAGGAGATCTACCTTGGATCAATAATCTTGTTTAATTGCACATTTTTACGGGATTCAGCTCCCATCGGATCACTTCAATGATCCAGTTCTTTTCTAGTGTGCGTTTGTGTGTCAGATTTGCAAGATCCTTTTTGATGCGGATGGTTTGATTCAAATGGTGCGAAGAATCAGTAGCACTGGGCCCCTGATTGGTCATTTTTTGGGTGACTTGCAAGCATGCTTAAAGCACCTATACAACAAGAGTTGTTTGCATGGTGGCAGTTTTAGTGAATTATGTGAATTAGGAGTATGCTTGAGGAGTTGGTTTCCCAACCTGAGAAGCCCCGGCAAAGAAATATCTAGCGATGTGTTTGCTATTTTGGGTGTTCTGATTTTTCTCATCCCAATTGCAGCACAGTTGGCGCCACGTTTTTTGGGGTCTTTGTCCTGCGACTCGCGACTTGTTGAAACGACCACATACAGTAAATGTATGAAAACTCCGGAGAGAACAAGCGGGGGCCTTAGTCTATCATCTAGCAAATGGTTTGCCACATGCATGATGGTCATGACTTCCTTTTGATATTTTCGTTGAATGGCCAATGCCATATAATGCCGTAGTTTTCTCGAAATTGATATAGATTTGCAGCAACCCAGCTAACAGCAATTCTCATCGTACGCACCATGGTGCATTTAACAGGCATTTTATGTTGGTTTCCACGTCCATCCGGCCCAGGAAAGATTTGGTGATCAAGCTGTTAAAGCAGCTGCAAGATCAGAAAAAAGCCATGCAAGACTTGAAAGCAGAGCATGCGGGCACTAATGCAGAGCAGTTTGAGCAGAGTCTCGTCAGTTCAATGGACCAACAGTTTGGGCAGCCCACAAAGATAAGATCAGCACTTGTTTATATACTGATGTTGCTTTTACGTTCCAGAATGCGTCAAAAGACTTTGGCAAGATCAAAGAAAAATGTTTTCAGGTTTATCGTTGACTTATCATGCACAAATTTCATCAAGTTCCATCATGCACTACAAGTCCCTTTCGCAGTCTTTGCTGATTGCTCACCAAGGATCGAGCAGCTTATGCTGCGGATCAGTGAGAATAATCAACTAAATGAAAAAATTGCTGTTGAGCATGAAATCCTCAAAAAGCTCTTTGGCTGCAGCATCATTATCGAGTAAGCTCACAGCTGATTCCTCGGATGTGTCACGACATGTCAAGACTCAAAAGTCACAGGCTGAGCGGCGATGATTTCTCTTCCCAGGAAATTCAGGTATGGCACAGGCAGCATCCGTATCCCCACGCTTTGTGAGATTCAGACCAACAGTACATTTTAAAGCTGGATGCCTTAAGCTGAAAGCGATCTAAGGTTCTTGAGGTGTTTCTGGTCTCCCAAGAAAGCATGTTTCGCGAAGCAGAATCTGAAGTGGAAAAGCCTGGATAAAAAAACACACACATATATATATATATATATACATATATTGTTTTTTAAGATAATCCGCAGGGTTTGGTCTTGCAACCTAGGCTTGAAAGGAGTAATCGACTTGATCACATCAAGAAGATGGATGCGCTCCAACGCACGATGAGTCCTTTGCTTATCACCTATTTAGATATATGTCTATGTTGGAAGCTCTACCACACAATGTTGCAGATCTGGAGAAGTGGCCCGTGAATCATAAGGGCTGTTGCAATATGTAGCAATTCTCGTTCCCACATGTTTGCACTATGTTTGGCTACTTTTGGGATATTTTTTGACCATTCCGTTCCGACATCCCTGAGATCACTCAGGGACAATGCAGGGACAACTGGACGACCAGGATGTTGTCATGCAGGAGAGCCCCACCCAGGTGGAGAAAGTATTCGTAGATATTCGTAGATGGTTGAAGGACGAAGGAGGTTCAGAAGTCAAACTTCCGACTTTGGACAGATGCAGCAACATTGCGAGAACACTCAGAGAAGAGAGAGTCAGTAGAAAGAAGATCAGAAAAGAGAAAGAGCCAGAGAAGAGAGAGTAAGAAGAAAGAATGTCAAAGCGCGCGAAAAGGTAGAAACATCGTGAAGCACAGTGTTTTTTTCTAATGTTTTGCCCGCTAAAGCGACGGGTGCGGAAGTTGAATGAGAGATCAAAAATTGCACGCCTTTGTGGCGCGAAGATGCGCGAAGCACATTCACATTCCCAAGTCAAAATGGCATAAGCACCTCAGCGCCGGAACACTTTTGGAAGTTGAGTCGTTGAAAAATTGTACGCTGTTGTGGCGCAAAGCGTATTTACAAGTCAAAATGCTGGAAACATCTTCGGTTCGGAGCTTTTGGCAGTTCAGGTTCAGATGTTCAAAAAGTGTATGCCGTTGTGGCGAGAAGCACATGTCAAAGTCATATTAATTCTTGAATATGTTTGACAGAAGCAAATTTTATGGGGCCACAACTACGTTTGCTCGAGTCAAAAACCGGTCTCGCTATGGGGGCCTCCCTCTCCATCTCTGGTCAGCCATTTGATCTCGGTGCTCGGCGGGTTCATTTTGCATCATTGCTGCTGACACCACTGATGGAAGATATTGTCACTTCAGGCACTTAATGAAAATAATAGTACTTATCGAACTTATCATAGAACTTATTTTCACTTATTTTCACTTATTTTAACTATTTTTTTGATATTTTCAAAGGGTCAGAACTGATAATAGACGAAGGATTTTTCTTTTACACATTTTGAAAAACACAATTGAATATAAGAAATAAGTTTAAAAAGTTTTGGGTAGGTTTGCATTTTTTTAAGCATCTACTATCCTTTTCAGGATATTTTCCTATTCAGGAACCATCCTTTTCAGGAACTATATCCTTTGCCTTGGGAGCCATGGCAGAGAAAGAAGCAGCGGTTCGGCACAGACTAGCTGCTAAAGTATGGCTGCGAGTCATACTATAGATTCTCTCATAGCTGCTTGTAATGATTGTGAAGTAAAATATGTTGGAAAATAAAAATATATATATATATAACAGAAAACATTTAGAAACTCAAGATGTTGAAACGATAATTCCTGAAAAGGATGTAGTTCCTGAAATGGAAAGTTTCTGCAATGAATCTTTCAGGTTGAATGTAGCTTCCTCAGAGGAATGCGTTTTCCTTTTTTAGATTTTAAATTTACTGAATTCTAAATCACCTATTTTTTAAAATTCTGTAATTATTTGGAATTGTAAGTTATCAAGAGTTTCTGGATTCTATTTTTTTGGGGGGTTTATGATTTTTCTGGATTATTTTTTTTGATTTTCTGCATTTTCTGGATTCTGATTTTTCTAATTTTTCTAGATTCCATTTCTTTTTTGATTTTCTAAATTTTCTGGATTCTAACTTGTTTTGGCTAGATTTTATGATTTCTATTTTTGTTGGATTTTCTAAAATTTCTGGATTCTATTTTCTTTTGGGGAGTCTATTTTTTTTTGTTTTCTGAATTTTCTGTATTCTTAATTTTCTAAATTTTCTAGATTCTTTGTTTGTTGATTTTATAAACTGTTTGGGTTCTAACTTTTTTGGATTTTCCAAATTTTCTGGATTTTGTTTTTTTAAAGAATTTCCTGGATCCTATTTTTTTGGATTTTCTAAATTTTATCGATTCTGAATGTTCTATTTATTCTAGATTATACTTATCTTTGGTTTTCTAAAATTTCTGGATTCTAACTTTTTTGGGTTTTCTAAATTTTCTGGATTTTATTTTTTCAGGTTTTCTAAATTTTCAGTTTTTTTTTTGTTTTCTAAATTTTCTGGATTCTATGTTTTTTTTAAAAAAGTTCTGATTTTTTATGAATTTTGAATTTTCTGAATTTTCTGAATTATATAATTAAATTATATATATATATCTAAATTTTAAATATAAATACCCTTAGCATCCATACCCTAAGAATTTGTCGGGTTTGAATTGAAACCCTGTGTTTACCCATGTGCATAGTAAAAACCTCGTGTTTCACCTGAAAACCTCGGGTTTTTGTAAAAACCCTTTGAAATCACCTTCCTGCTCAGGCTCGCACCGGTGAATCTTGGCCCGTGCAGCTCTGCGGGGGATTGCAGAGCATAATTTAACAGTACAAGAAAATAATATAGATGGCGAATTAGGCTATCCATAGATGCAAGAGCCAAACAGGTATCAAACCCACCAACAATCAAACATGATCAATTCAATTATGTTGTTTTTCTTGGCTACCCTGATTTGTTCTTTTTTGGGGTTCTCGATTGTGGGGACGAGTCAAACCTGTCAAGAACAGGGGAAAATCATATATGATAATGGTTCGATAATGAGGGGTTCGTAGAAATGGGGTTCCACCTCTTGTTGGCGTATCCTTCTTGGGAGTTTCCATTTCCATTACCGAACTTAAGACCAATATTCACCCATCAAAGACCAACAATCAACAAGAGGTGTCGCCAAAAACTGGCACAGCCAATTTCCAGAATAAGATAAAACCCATGAGCTAAACACACAATCAGGGAAACAGCTGCCAAAGACAGCAAACTTGCACCCGTAATGGCTTTTTGCTGCCAACGAATGAGAAGTCTGTCAGGGCCCCCAGATCGTGGAGCAACCGGCGGGAGTGGACAGATCACTGAGCAACTGGTCACGCCGTTGTTTTTTAAACTTATATATTATTATGACTTTATTTTTTAGCTTCCAACTGTTCTTCATTTGATTGCCAATCTCTCAGTTTCCAGCTTCCAACCACTTGCATTTTATGTAGCCATTTGGCTCGTGAACCTTTTTCCTGACAGCACCCGCTACACCATGCCGACATTGGAGATTGAAGGTGTGTGGAATGAGTGGGATAGAGATGAAGAGACGGGGGATGTCTTCCAAAGTGGTGGGACCATTTCTGGAACCGCCACATTGTGCAGATATCAGCACATGTGTCAAGTATAGGTATTTGCTGTCCCCATTGTTGACAAAGATGTCACTGCACGAAGACCGTTGCCTGCCACCTGTTGATCAGTTAAAAGAGGAAGTTGATAGCCTTTTGAAACACAACAAGCAGGGATTGGAGTCTGAGTTCCTAGACGTCTCCAAGAAGGCATGGACTCTGAAAAAAATGTGTGGATTCGTCAAGTGCAAAGCTGGGCGAAGAGAAGTTTCCACCGTCACTGGGCTCATTTTTTGCAGGAAAAAATCAACGATAAAAACTTGACATCGAGCTTTTCAATGAGAAACATGTTCAATGTAGGGGACGGTTTCGTTTCAAGACCCTGGTTGTGATTAGGTGAGAAACTTTCAGCGGTTGGTCCTTCAGTTGGATCCCATGCTGCAGGCCTGTTTTCCCACCCTTTCCTTGTCATTTTATATCGCTTGCTCACTTCCCCATACTATAATTTCAAAAAGGCCTCCATCGTTTTCTGTAGGCGGACGTGGACGCAGTGAATGCAAGGATCGCAGAAAAGCTCAAGAAGAAAAGGGTCTCAAGGACACGACGCGGGTAGGGGGTTGGATCGGGCTGTTTCTCCGGCATGTGCAGATTGTACGAACATATTCAACTTGGGTTTTCTCTATTTTTCTATCCAGTGGTTACGAAGGAGCTAGGGGTATTCATATTCCCTCTTAAATGGGGAGCCAAGGAGCAATTATAATTTCCCAACCCAATGGTCGATTGAATTGTGGTTTTTACAAATGTTTCCTCAACCCTCGGTCGGTTCTTCCAAAAGAGGACCAAAGGGACGATGATGAGGACGTCTGGGATGATTCGGATGATTTCAGTTCTTCATTGTTCATCAGACGAGGACACGGGCCATGAAGGGAACGGTGAGCCCAATCCACCAGAAGTAACGGAGCCGGTGGCAATCGAGACTCCTGTTGCCCCCACGCCTGCCTCCACACCTGCTGCTACCCCGATCCCGGTGACTACACTGTTGCTACGACAAATGCCAGTTCTGCCCTTGGACATGTCAAATTTGAAATCATGGGGGTTCTTGAAAACTAGCGGGGAAAACTTGAGAGCTCAAAGTTGAAATCCATCACATTCTAGATTTGTTAGGTCCTTTCACTGGCCAAGGTGCTGAGAGCATTTCCTTGGCGGAGAAGCGTGAACAAGTTTTACAGAAGCTGCAAAAGTTTCTTGGCCGAGTTTTCTTGTTCACTCGTGGTGGGGGTTTGTATTCGTCAGGAACTTTATATGTTCAAACCGGTTGAACGGGTGAATGCAGCATTGAAATTGCATTTGGAAATCTTCAACAAAATGGTATGCACATATCAGTCACATATCACATATCCATCCTATGTTGCTTAAATATGTTGGGCCATAGTGACCTGTGACCTCACTTAAATCAAGTTTGAAGGTTGCGGGATGCAAAGTTAGCTCGCACTGCAAATGCAACACCTGGAGGACTGACAACGTAGATCTTCATTACAGTACAAGCAATTCTTGATTTAACGTTTTTTCCCAATCAAGAATCAAGAAGTTTATAAATTGTTGCTGTCAGGAGCATGTGGGGACAATGCAGAGACCCAACCCTTGGTTGATATTGGAGCGGTCTCAGCACCATCTCCACCTGAAGCGCCTGCCGCTCTATCCCCGGAGATCTCTTCAACTGAAAGACGTTCAAAGTATCAGAATGGTGAAGGAAAGGGTGAAGATACCATTTTGTTGGGAGCTGACGTGCCAACAGGAACAAAGAATGACATGAAGGAATCCCCAAAGAACGACGACTTCACTGGATCTGAGAGCGAGGCACGGCCCACATAAAAGTTTTCTTTAAAACGACCTCCACATTGACTCCACATCCAACATGGAGGACATTTATGTTGAATGCAGCTGTTGCTGGCAGATTGCCTGCAATGAGACCACTTTTTTTTTTACATACTTTGTTTTGACTGGGGCTCGGAGGCTCCGAAAGCCTTCGTCACAAGGGAGGATCAGCTCAGCAACCGGCCTCCTGGGCGAGGGAGGGGGAAGGGTAGAGGTAGGGGCAGAGGAGCCCCAAGCAAGGATGCAGGCGAGGTTTCTGAGAAGAAGCGAAAGATCGCTACTCCCCAAAATTCTGGTGCTTTTTGGACCGCTGACATGGTTGAAGAATGGAACAAACGGAGGGCGGAGCCAGCCGGGGAATATGATTGGGGATGGGAGGAAGCAGACTGACTGGGTGGGTGATTGGGGCCAACCAGGACAAGCTTGGGACCGCTATGCAATCTTGGACGGACAAGTGTCCAAGGCCGAGTTAGGATCCAAAGCTGTTACGGAGGTGGAAACACATGAGCAGGAAGAACACAACACAGCAAGCAAAAAGAAACCCAAGAAGACAGCAGCACCCACAGGTGACAAAAACCTGGAACTGAACAACAAGAAGGCAAAGAGCAGCAAGCAAGAGGAAGAACCATCGAAGAAAAGAAAAGTTGAACCCGAGACCCCGGACAGAAAACCAAATAAAACAATATATCCACCAAAAAATCAAAGAGAGATCATTGACTTTTTGCCTTGTATAGCACAAATTTCTAGATATGTATTTTGTGGGCCCTGGTGGCGTCCCTTTCTGGGTTCTTTCTATTGACGTTCTTAGTTTATTTTTCTCCTCACCCCAGTCTATAGACAAATTTTCATTTACATCTTTCACTATTGTAAATCTATGTTTGGTGAGCTTGTTTTCATTACAAGAAGGAGTTCTAACATAATATTCTCTATGCAATTGTTCTTTAAAGCTTTGATACTGCCTGGGCATGGAAGCAATTTAACAAACATAAAAATGCTTTATTGTCCTGCCTTTAAAGTTTTGTAGATTGGGTCATTTTAACCCGTTCCATGCCAGAGCAGTCATTACAACATACATATTTATCTATATGTGTTTCAATGCCTTTGGTAAAATGCTTTATAAAATTCTGAGTTTGGATTTTTGCTTTTGGTAGTCTTGGCATATTTCACCCCATACACTTACCATATATTTACATGAAAATATGTTTCCAAATGTGTTTTTGCAAAAAAACATGCAGGAATACATATAGATTTTCCTTAGCCTAGGGGCTGGGTTTAGGCAGGTCAAGGATAGGGCATCCCAGCAGGTCTGGGATGGGACAATTACCAAGCAATATTTTTAAACATATTTGTTTTAGTAAATATTATTTATTCAGCATTTAATCTTTTTTTTGGTATTGCCTTTATATTTTCTGGGTTTGGTTCCTTTCACTTTATCTGTATCTTCTTTGTTCTCTTCAGTCTATATCCTTTAATTTAATTTCTCCATTCTCTGCCATCTTATCTAATTACTTTCTTCTGCTGTATCTTATAGCACTTGCTCTTTTGATTTCCTTAATCTTTATCAAGTCTTCTTTTTTGATAATAAAATCTATTATACAATGCCAACTGTTCTTGAGTCTCTTCCAATGTCATATTTTCAGGTGTTATTGTGGAATAATATTGTATATGTATTTGCAAAAGCCGGCCGGACAAGCTGGCTAGTTGTTTTTTGCGAACGAAGTGAGAGATTAGGGGTCTGGGGGGAGGCCTTGCCAAACAGGCCACTTTTTCCAATCTAGTTGGTGTTGAGGGTGTCAAGTGGGATTGTTTTGCAGGGTAGTGTACCAGGTCGAAAATGAGTGACGGTGGGTATCGATTACCCCCTGGTCCGTCATAATTATTGGGGTTAAATTTCGGGTTAAATAGGTAGACAAGTATTAAGTAGGGCTAAAAAAGTAGACACATAGACACATAGATAGGTCAACGGATAGGCAGGTAATAGATGGTTGCAGAGCAGACCGAGAGAGGGAATTTATCGATAGCTGAATGACAGCTAGAAAGAGAGGTATTATACAAAGAGATGTAAAGATATATGCGTGGATGGCTGATTGGATAGATGGATGGGTGGATAGATGGAGAGATGGATAGATAAATGGAGAGACAAATAGCTAAATAGATAGATAGGTAGGTAGATAGATACATAGATAGATAGATGAATGGATAATTAGATCGATAGATTGATAGAGAGAGGTAGAGAGAGAGAGAGATAGATAGAAAAATAGATAGAGAGATAGATAGTCAGATAGATAGTCAGATAGATAGCTAGATAGCTAGATAGCTGGATAGCTGGGTAGCTGGATAGATAGACAGCCAGATAGCTAGATAGATAGCTTAAAAGCTAGATAGATAGAGAGATAGATAGATCAATAGCTAGATGTAATATATGGATGCAGAGTAGACCGAGAGAGGGAATTTATCGATGACTGGGTGACAGCTGGAACGAGAGGTATTATAGAGAGATGGATGGATGGATGGATGGATTGACTGATGGACAGACGGATGGATGGATGGATGGATGGATGGATAGATAAATTGATAGAAAGAAAGAAAGATAGAAATAATGAAAAAAAGTGTATAGAGATGGATAAATTTATAGCTAGATAGATAGATAGATAGATAGATAGTTAGATAGATAGATAGATAGGTGGATGGATACATAGCTAGATAAATAGATGGATAGCTGGCTAGCTGGATAGCTAGACACCTAGATAGCTAGATAGCTAGATAGGTTAGATAGCTAGATAGTTTTAGATAGATAGGACAGATAGCTAGATAGCTGGATAGCTAGATAGTCAGATAGAATCCCCCGGCGAATTTCCCATACAAAATGGGTGGCCTTAAGGCCACTACAAAATTGGTTTTTATGGGTCATTTTTTAGTGAGGCCACCTTGTGAAAAGGTCCAGGGCCCCCTTTAACTTTGGATGGCAAGGCATTTTGTAGAAAAACATACGGGGGCCCATGGATGAAGATAGAAATTAGGTCGAAAAAGGGACTTTCCAAGGCCAGGCACTTTGTAGTGAAATTACCGGGTCCCATGGCGGATTCTTCAAGACTGGAACCCCTGCATTTTGTAGTGAATCCATTGGGTTAAAATATTTATCAAAAAAAATGCTAAACAAGTATAGACAAGTATAGCCACCCCCCCATCACGCCCCTACAAAATGACAGGTCTTCTGCCAGAACGTCTACAATATGGACTGGTGTGTTGTTGTTTTTACCTTCTTAAGAAACTTGCTGATGTTAACTGGGTGCCCTAAGTGCGCTGTTGTTTGCCTTTCTGAAGGCATAAGATTCTATCATCTCTGTCGGTGAGGGTTGTAAGATTTTATCATCTCTGTCGGTGAGGGTCTGAAGATTTTATCATCTGTCCCGGTTTCACCTGCATGAATTGACTCCCCGGCTTGGGGCGCTGTAACACCAAAAAAAAAATCGGTCGGATGGGTATTTTACAGGGCATCGCCCATGGCTCAAATCGGATGTTGTGGCTCAAGATGGCTCAAGGCTCGGAACACTTAGTAAAAAGTAGGTGGCAGGCGTGGCACTTGTGTGACAGGTTCATCTCTCTTACGCTCGGTTTTTGAAACCTGGTCGGATTTTGGATGGGACAGAATGGATGGTTGGGATGGAATGGATGGAAGGGCTGGGCTGGTGCGTGCCTCTCAAAGATAATTAATTGGTTTTTGGTTGTGAAGTTTTTTAACAAGGAAGTGTTTTAACATGTTGGTCAATGTTGGTCATGTGTTTCATGATGGTGTTTGTGGTCATCATGTTGCGTATGATCTATTTCCATATTTTTTTTGGGGGGGGCCAGGGCGGACCAATAATTCATCAACTTGGTTAAGAAACAAGGGTTTAGGATATCTTGATGGACTTAATGAACCTGATGTAACTTAGATTTAGATAATATGTTCTGGCATATCTATGTTGTATGTTTCCAGCCAAATTTGCCATGGTCGATTGATCATTTTCCAGCCGGGTGCTGACACTGACGTTTGGCATGACGTTTTTTTTGTATTTGTTTGGGCCTGTTGACAGTTGGTTCCTCACAGGTCCAAACTCAAAAATGGAAACAGTTGCAGCTGGCAACAAATCACGTTTGGAACAGAATGCTGGATTTTTTTGTGGCAAGATGTTGGGAAAGAGTCCAGTCTTTTGACTGGGCTATGCATTTTGTTTGGTGAGGCTGACGGTGACGGTGGGGTTTGGGCCTGTTGACGGTTGGTTCCGCACAGGTCCAAACTCAAAAATGGAAAGAGTTGAAGCTGGCAACAATCACGTTTGGAACAGAATGCTGTTTTTTGTTTTTTTGTGGCAAGATGTTGGGAAAGAATCCAGTTTTTGTTGACTGGGCTATGCTTTTTTTTTGTGTGAGCCTGACGGTGACGGTGGGGTTTGGGCCTGTTGACAGTTGGTTCCTCACAGGTCCAAACTCCAAATTGGAAAGAGTCAGTGCAAGCTGGCAACAAATCACGTTTGGAACAGAATGCTGGATTTTTTTTCGTGGCAAGAGGTTCGGAAAGAGTCCAGTCTTTTGACTGGGCTATGCATTTTTGTTTGGTGAGGCTGACGGTGGGACCCTACAGATAATTTGCATGTGTTTTTTGGATTCCTTTGGGCCTGTTGACGGTGGGTTCCTCACAGGTCCCAAAATCAAAATTGAGAAGAAACCATTTTTTTTAAAGGACAGAGCCCAGTACTGTACCATGAATATCATACTCCATGCGCACCTGCACAGAACACGCACCACGCATATCATTTTCAAATTGGTTCTACAATCAAGATAACTCAGACTCAGTCACCACGGCTTCAATTTTTAGATTGACCAACTCCCCCCCGGCGACCCTCCGGAGCCCCAAATCCTTGGAAAAAACACAGTGTTTCGCGACTTTCCTACCTTTTCGCGCATCTGCATCTTCTTTCTTCTGACTCTTTCTCTTCTCTGATCTTCTCTCTTCTAATCTTTCTCTTCTCTCTGCCTCTGCCCTGCCCTGCTTTTCATCTGTCCATATTGTCGGAAGTTTGACTTCTAAACTTCCTTCGATCATGTTTAATTCCAATGTTGGGACATGTTTGGACTTTGTTTTCGGGCCTGCACCATTTTTTAAAGATTCGGAGAGACCCGAGAGGATATCTGAGGTGGAGTTTATATAATTCCATTTTCTTGAAAATGAGACGGATATGGTGGATATTATATATATATATATATTTTGGGTTTTTTTAAGGCCCTTCCTCTAACAGTAAATAGGATACCTTCTTTAGACATACACTCTTCCACATCTGGCTCCTAAATATATACCTCTTCCATTCCTTTTATACCCCTTAGATTCTACCTTTTATACCCCTTATCTT